TGATTTGCAGACTCCCGTGTAGTTTCATAACGCCTGAAGTGATTGAGGCCACGTGTCAGTGCCTATTGGCTCAGGCGGAACAGGGAGAGCGGGTTGGCATCGATTTGAAGCAAATCGAGAAACTGGTGATTGAAGAGTTTGGTCGATGTCTCACACAAATCATCGATTGCGCCGCAAAGACCAGAAAGTGAGTGATATTTGCGTTTAGTTTGTCGCTTGAAATGTATTTTAATCTACTGTTTGTCTCCATAATTAGTTCCAAATTAAAACCGGAATTCGTTTAAATATATATCAATTGAAAACGATTGGTAAGAATTTCATATTTATTTTCTGTACATTTCTTTTATCGGTATTTTAATTCTGATATAATTTGAGAATTCATTTATTGTTATTTATTTGAATTTATGTCCCTTTTAATGGTTTACTAATTGTATGATTTAAAAGACAAAAAAATATATAATTTAAATTCTATTATTATATTTGTGAGTTATTTTGAATTTATTTTTAAAATTCATTTAAATATTGTACACATAATTGAATATAACATACGAATTGTATATACCAGTACATAGAGAATTTCATGAATTGATTTATTTCTAAAATATATTTCTAGTTTAAATATAATTGAATAATAACTAAATTATTTGAGACATAACTTTTAGTAAATTATAAATTATTATAAAAATTTTGTTAAATTTTTCTGCTATTATTATTGAGTTTTTGTACTCAATTTGCTTTAACTGATAATAAATGCTTTCAAATGAAACAAAAGTCCTAAATATGAGCAAATGTGCTAAAATCACAAGTCTATCGATTTATTCATTGCTGTCGTATTTAACTCTTACAGTATTGTGTCGATAAACAAAACACTTTTGTAAAGATCTGTGCAATCGATGCACTGATAAATTCAATTCATTTTTTCTCTGTCCGACCAGTGCTCCCATTCTCGCATTCAATTCAATCTTAATTTTTTAGTATATTATTAAATTTGTCATAAAAACATTTTATTCTGTACAGAATTCATTGTTTTTATACAAAACTAGTACTCTATCGTATTTCCCTTATTTTGTTTAATATTGAGTTAATTATTGATTGAATTGTTGATGGAATATAAGAATTTTTTATTTTGTTTTTACCATTTGATACCTCGATAGACTAAAATCACTTTGAGACCAATTAAACACAATTAATGGTTTGCAAATATTGCTAATTGTTTTTAATTATACATTCTTCTATAAAATGAGTGCCATTTACTTGTAATGATTTTGTATATCAATTAGAGTATTGGTGTTAAATAAAGCACTTTTTCCATGAGATACCATTTAAACCCATACTAATAGAACCACTGATTGGGTGTTTGATTGCATTTTTGCAATTTTGTTGGTTTTAGTCTTATTTGGAGTCAAATATTTGTTTGAATATTAAATTTCCGTTAAATAATAGTTAATATAATAGTCATTAATGGCCTAATTCTGTGATATAGAGTATAGCGATGAAAGGTTTCATTGGTTTCATGCAATTGTCTCGGATATCATTAAATGCTTTCAAAAACATATCTAATATTAGAATTTTTTTAAAGAAATTCTTTTCTCACGAAATATTAAATTGTTTTTCGGGAGAAAAGTTGAGACTTTCAATGATATCATATAATATCCACTTTAAGAGGAGAATCTCGTTTCGGCGAATCAACCGATGCTATGATTGACTGAAATTCAATTCCTGCGCGAAATTAAATGAATTTTGCATTAAATGTTTGAATTTCATTTGAAATCATACTCGAGTAGTCATACTATCCACGAGAGTAACTCTATACGCCTTTAATCACAAGAAATGTTTGTTTAATAGAAATCCAGTGATAAACAAGTTCTGGAGTTTTACTATTAATAATTGGGTTAAATATCAGATCAATCATAGCCAGTGAAGTCTCCATCCATTGCTAGAGAATCCATTCCCGGGTCTAAACTCCGAAAAGCTTTAAAATAATGTCAATTTTACACACAATTGCCGACTAATAAAACAATTTGTGAAACTAATTTTTAGAAATAAGTCCAAAAGTTTGGTTCACTTCTGTATACCATTATAACCGGCGACAACACATCTGGAGTTTTAAATTAAATACTGTTTTGTCGTTCACTCCATGGATTTGATTCGTTTCATTAATTTTATGATTGATTTTTGTTTGCATTCATTCATAAACTGCTTAATAAAAATAATTTCTCGAGTGATTCGGCTGTGGAAATGCTATTCACGGCTAAAAACTCTTGAACAGAACCAGTGAAATGCAGTGCCAAAGATAAATAGCTAACGATTTTAAGTGAAAAGTACAGCTTTCGGGCCGATAATTGAGTTGTTTATAAAAGAATGCCTTTCAAAAGCATTCATTAATATATTTTTGTTTATTTTGATAAAAATATTTCCTCCTATAATAGACGTTTACTTAAGACTCAGGCGAATTAGGTTGTGATTGGAGTTACGAAAAGTTTTGCAGCGATTTTGCACCCATTTTTCATCTTTTCTTTAAACATTACAATATTTGTTGTATTGAATGCCGTTTGGGAGACAATAATAGCTCAATAACTCATCCACTCATTAGGAACTGTATATACAGAGAACACCACATCATTTGGCACCACAATAGTTGCCGCCAACCCATCAATTATTCACCATTTGTTTCATTCAATATTTAATTGCGTTCAACATATCTATACATTTGTGTTATAGTTTTGGTGTATAATAGCTTATTATGTTAATTGTCTTTTTCATATCATATTTTTGGCAATATTTTAAATATCAAAATTTTTGAAATAAGTTTCAAACAGATACTGTTTGAGATATTAGTATAATTGAGATTTATTAGTATGAGGTGAAGATTCCGGGAGTTTTGTTTAAAAATAACTTATGAGAGAGAGAGAGAGAGAGAGAGAGAGAGAGAGAGAGATTCTGGAGTAAGAAAATACGGTTTGAAAAAATAGTGATACATTTCAATGAATCGTTTCATAAAATATGTGAAACAAATCACTGGTTTCTATATATAGAGGATATGACATTTCTAACACTTCATTAATTGCAAATTTAAAAATTCAAACCCTTTCTGATGCCAAAAAACTAAATCTGTAAGAATGAGGAACTTTTATTTTTGGTCTCAATTAATGAACTATTCATTTGTTTAATTGCAGTCAAACAAAATAATATTATGGTTTACCATAACATCATTCGGTAGATTTATTAACCAGGGTTATTACGCAAATATAAAATGAGCACATTAAATGTTTATTTAAAATATAGAAATATTCACTATTTATTGTTTAAGAATATTTCTCAAGTTACCGGTAAAGTTATTACTTGTAGTTAATAATAATAGTTTACTTTTACTTAATACTTACCAAATTAAATGTTAAACTTTTATACAATATTTTCCATTTATAAGATAATTTGAATGTAACGTTAATATAGTATTAACTAACAATTCTTTGCAGTAAAGTACAAAATGCTTAATTATAGTCTATTAATTATTAAAACATAATTATACTAAATCTGCTTTTCTATCGTAAAGTTTATGAATGCCGAGCAAAACAGTGGTGCATATCGTCTAAATGAGTCTAAAATAGTTTCTTTAATAGACTTATAATTCAAATGATTTAATGATTAAAAGCGCGATTCCGAGCCATAAGTCAGGAGTGGAGGAGAAATGATTTGCACACATATTGTCGTGTGTTTTATGAGACACACACTAAATGATCGCAGAATTTAAGCCCAAATAACATGACATCGTTTGGCGGAGGAGAGAGAGAGAGAGAGAGAGAGAGAGAGAGAGTAATAAATAAATTGTGATTCAAAAGAAAATCGTTTTATATTTAGCTGAGAGTTATTTACTGTTAGTAAACAGTTTAGCGACTCATATATGTGTCTTACAAACGACGGCAACACAAGCAAAAAAAATAATATACAGTATAAAGACGACTCTCGGATCTAAAAACTAAGATTTTTAGAGATCATGAGATAAAAACTTATTCAATAAAAACTTTATACCAAACGCTATGTTGTGATGTGTTTTGTGTACAGAAACGAAAGAAAGAGAGAAAACTAAACTCAAAGTAAAGTTTATATTCTATTCGATAATTGTATTGTAAGGCAAACATAGGATGGATTGATACCAAAGATTTAACAGAGATATAACTTATGTGAGATGCTCTCAACCATTGTTTTTACGGCACAGGGATGTGGCAGCGAATGGAGGGCTCATTAACTGACAGAATAGTGGAAAGTCAGCGAAAAAACTTTTACTCCTAATTCTATTAATAGAGCGAAAAAATTTGTTTAAAAATTTATTGTTGTTTTGGTCTCTTTTATTGAACCAAATATTATGTTAGAAAATATTAATTGAATTTGTTTTTCACTAAAAATATCGTTTTTATGCTAATATTATCGTATAAATTATTAATACAAAAACACATGTAAAACATCATAAGTCATTCAAATCAAAGTATGATAAGATATGTCATAATGAGACCACAGATGAAAGTCCACAGGGATGTGACGGGTAGTGAACCGGCGCTGCACTGACGGGACTCGTACTCAAAGCCGTCACAGTTTCTCTGCAATACGTTCTCGTGTTCTGACGAATAGATCTTCATATTAGCGATGGTTTTGGCGGACTTTGTATCACATTTCCTGCGCGCGGAGTCGGCCACGCAGTCCCTCAGCCGCCAAAAGCCGCAACAAAACTCGCGCCGATACTCATCCGACTGCATGGGATGTCCCTTCTCGATGACTGCGGACATACGCTGCGTGTACTTTGTCTTACATGTCTCGACCTCCGGGTGCACCGCTAGCACACACCCAATGCCGCCGGAGTTTTTCAAGTTTACGATTTGGTCCAACGATAGGTCGTCCGACACCACACTCCCTATCGACACCAAAATGGCCACAAATACCACTAATTGGTGGCTGAGTAATGTCTGAAACGACATATTTGTGGTGCACTTCCACATCACTACACAATACAGGCGTTCATAGAATTTATGGATAAAATTCTTGTCACTAAACTATTCCAACGCCTTATGGCTTAGGGTTTCCTTAAACTTATATTTAGTTTTATGAAAAAGTTTTTATAAAAACTCTTTGTTTTGCAATAAATATGTCGCAAACAAGGGTTTGTTAGACAAATTAATCAGAGTATCACTGAATATAGTGTACACCAAATGATAAGATTATGTGTCGTTTAGGCGATGAAATACTTTCGACAGAAAACACCGATAAATGTATTGCCTCTACAGTTGTCTCACATCTCCAACGACTACAACAATAATCACTTCACATATTCATTGCAT